TGTCTTTTAACTTTTTAATAGGTATTATTATTTTGCTTTTATTATTTATATGTAATACTATATTATTATTCATATTTACAGTACTAAATACAAAAAATTATATTAAATTTATGTAGTATTTTCTAATCATACTTTTAATCTCTCTCGCTCTCTTTCCTTTGGTAGTGGGGGTTGAACCCAGAGGTACTTTACCGCTGAGCCACATTCCCAGCCCTTTTTGTTTTTAATTTGGAGACAGGGTCTCACTAAGTTGCTTAGGGTCTCACTAAATTGCTAAGGCTGGCCTTGAACTTGCAATCTTCCTGCCTCAGTCTCCCAAGTCCACTGGTTTTACAGTTGTACACCATGGTATCCGCTCTTTCAATTTTTTTTTTTTTAATGGTTTCTGAGTTTACTTTCTCGGCTGTAAAGATTTCCCTGAGGTTGTACGTATTCTCACATTTTCTTCTGAAAATTTTATTGTTTTGAAATATTTAAACCATAAGTTCATTGTAGTTTACTTTTGTATTTAGTGAAGATAACACTTTTAACATTTTCTATCTATTTCTGAACTTTCTGTTCTGTTCCACTTATCTGGTTTGTCTTGATTATGCTAATACATGCTTTCTTCATTAGCTTTAGACTATATCAACTGTCTAAGAAAACTCCCCTCTTTCTACTGTCCAGCCCCATTTTTTTCTTTCTCATATTTTGATTAGTTTTTTTCTTATGAATTTTAGGATAATTCTCCTAAAAAATAATCCCCTTTTTAAAAAAAGGCCCAGGGGCTGGGGATGTAGCTCAGTGGTGGAGCTACATGTTTGCATGTGTGAGGCACTGGGTTCAATGCTTAGCACCACATAAAAATAAATAAATAAAATAAAAGTCCATCAACAACTACAACTAAAAATATCTAAAAAAATTAAAACTTAAAAAATAATTTTTAAAAAGGCCCAATAACTTGCTAATATTTTAATTGGAACTGCATTAAATTTACGTACTAAATTTAGAAGAACTGGTAGTATAATATGGTCTTCCCAAAAAAGAACATGGTTTCCCATGGTTCAGATCTGTAAGTACTATATATTTCTTGTTACATATGTTGTTACTGATGTTTTAGGTTTTACTATTGTAAACAGAATATCTTTTTCTACTTTTAGATTTAATTGCTAATATAGATAACTTATTTTTATGTATTTTTTTATATCTAGTCACCTTACCACACTCTCTAATTAACTAAATCAGGTTAAAGGCTTAATTGGATAGTCTAGATATAAAATATAATCAGCAAAAAGATTATTTACTTATATCTCTCTATTTCCCCCCCAGTACTGAGGATTGAGCCCCAGGACCTTGTGCATGCTAGGCGAATGCTCTACTACTGAGCTATACCCCAGCCCTCTCTTTGATTATTTATACTGCCTATTTCATTTTCTCATTATATCTCTAGAAACTCTAAAATGGTGTTCAATAATAAGGATAACTGCAAGTATTCTCTTTTGTATCTTTTTAATGGAAATTGCCTTAGTATTTTACCAATTGACATGATGTTTGTTGGTGGTTAATAACAAATATTCTTTATCATATTTTAAAAGGTTTCATTTTATTCTGATTTTAAGGATTATTTATCAGAACCAACTACTGGTTATATAAAATATTTCTACCCTACTGAAAGTATCATAACAGCTTTCCTCTACTGATTTGTTGATGAAGCAAATTATATTTTTCTTTTTCTTTTAAATAATTTTTTAGTTGTAGATGGACACAGTACCTTTAGTAATTTATTTTTATGTGGTGCTGAGGATTGAACCCAGTGCCTCACACATGCTAGGCAAACACTCTACTACTGAGCCACAAACCCACCCCCTTAAGTTCTTGATATTGAACCATGTTTGCAGTCTTGGGATAAACCTTGTCAATATGAATGGTTTTTGATATATTGTTGAATTCTATTTGTTGATACTTAGAAATATTGTATTTTTATGTGCATGTGATACAATATCAAGTTTTGCTAAAATTACTATAACTTCATATAATAAATTGGGTGCTAATTATTTTTTTTGCTCTGGAATTACTTAAATAATTAAAATTATATGTTTTTTAAAGCTTAAATAAAGCTCATCTGTGAAACCATCTGATACCTCTTTTTGGATGGTAAATCTTTAACTTTTAAATTTCTTCTGAAAAGAGATTGGATTTTCTACTTTGTAATTTTTGAAATTTGTACTTTGCCAGGAAATCTTCCATTTTCAAATGTAATCACATAGAATTGTACATAGTATTCTCTGATCGTTCTTTTAGTCTCTTCCAGTATAAATTTTGCAATATTTTTTTGCTTTCTCTATTTTTCTTAAGAAGATTTTAAGACATTTTTCATTTTCATTAGTCTTTCTAAATAATTCTTTCAGTTAATTTTGTGTTTTTTCTCCTGATGTCTTAAGTATTAAGTTTCTCTAGTTTTAATTGAGCATTAATTCACAAACTATAAAATTCACATTTTTTTAAAGAATTTAACCTTTATTTTTATTTACTTATTTGTATGTGGTACTAAGGATTGAACCCAGTTCCTCACCTGTGCTAGGCAAGTGCTCTATCACTGAGCCACAACCTCAGCCCCCAAATTTGCATTTTTTAATGTATACAGTTTGGTGGTTTTTAGTATACTCACAAAGTTGTGAAACCCTAAGTTCCTTCAGTTTTTCTCTTCCTTAGAAATGAGTAAGACATTGTAGTGCTTTTACTATTGCTTTAGTCTTATCCTTAAGGTTTTGACTTGGAGTCTCTCTTTTTCATTGCTTTTCAGTTACTTTTTCTTTTGTTTTGATTTGCTTTCTGATTGAAGGATTGTTTATAGGGTATATCTTGATTTTTCAAAAAAAATTTAGTTGTAGATGGACATAATATCTTTATTTATTCATTTATTTTTATGTGGTGCTGAGGATCAAACCTAGTGCCTCACATATGTGAGGCAAGCACTCTCCTGAGCTACAGCCCCAGCCCTTGATTTTTATCTTTAAAATTATTTACCTGTTTATATTTCTCTATTTTCCAAATTCTTAAAAGCAGGTATGTACTACTTTTATAACTAAGACAAAATAATAAATTTTTAAAAAATTATACTTAAATTTTTAATCCATTTAAAATTTATTTTGAGAAAGAAATGCAGTAGGAATCCACCCCACCCCAAATAATAGCCAGTTGTTCCAACAGTACTTATTAAATGGACTCTACTTTTTCATGATCGTACAATATAGTAAACATAAACTGAATTTCCTTTTGTGTTTGAGTGTATTTCTGAACTCTATTCTGTTCCACTTATGTATCAATATTTCCTTTCTGGTTCCAACAGGAAAAGTTTGGCAACTTTAATATGTTTAAAAATATCTAGTAGAGTTATTCTCTCATATCTATTTTCATAATTTTCTTGGTTATTCTCATGTTTAATTTTTCATAAGAGCTTTAGTGACTTTTTAAAATTATTTTTTTTTTAGTTGTAGAGGGACACAATATCTTTATTTTTATTTGTTTTATTTTTATGTGGTGCTGGGGATGGAACCCAGGGTCTCACGCATGCAAGGCAAGCACTCTACCAAGGAGCCAACCCAAGCTTTGGTAACTTTTTATGATGTTCTGAAACTTCACTGATGATTTAACTGTAATTGAGCAACTTTTGTAGATTATTTTAAATAACAATACACTATATATTGAGTAGCCTATCTAAGGGAAAAGTGTATCTTTCCATTTGCAAAAGTAATTTTATGTCCCTTTGTAGAGTTTGGATAATTCTTTCATGTAGGTCCTACCTATTCTTAAGTTTAGACCTAGGCATTTTATTTCAGTTGTTATTGCAAATACATATTTCTTTCTCTTGTCTAGTTGCATTGGCTAAGAAATCTAGGAAAATGTTAAATAAATGTTGTTACACTGGGCATTTGGGGATGCTTCTAATATTGCACCATTAGGCATAGTAAAATTACCAAAGTGACATATGCTCACTTAGGCAGTTTAGTACATACCCTAGAGGTTTTTCTCTTCTTTTTAACACCTGGCACATAGTTAACATTCAACAAATGTTGACTCTCAGTAAGTGCTGTTAATACTTATGTACACAGAGACACATAAGTAGTACAGGATCATGCTAAATAGAAAAAAACAAAAAAACCAAAACTAATAAACATTCCCTGAGCATCTCCTGCAAATTACACTCCTTAGTAACTTCTGCATTTAGAACCTAGTTCTCCAGTTGACTTTGACAACATTCAGTGATGGAAAGAGCACCGCAGTGGGAAAATGTCACTCGGGTTCCAATCCCATGCCACTGATTTGATGACCTTGGGTGGTTCTTAACCAACAGCTTCCACTTAACCAGGAGAGACAATTTGGGAGAAGAGGGACAGAATTCATTTAGGGAAAGGCGTGTGATCACCACTGTTCTCCCTCTCCCATACAATGGCGAGTTTAAGTCTAACACTCAGCAGACAGCAGAGAGAAAGGCGGTGGAACTGAGGCATCTTTGGGAGAATAGACGTGATGACCGGAAATTAAAAACAAGTCGGGATCCTTACCACCCAGTGTATCTGTGAAAATCTGGGTTCGATTATGCTCGTTTATGGTGGGAAGGTAGATTCCGGGTGCACCCCACTAAGTTCCATAGGCTCCCAAGAACTTTTATTCTCCACCTCCAGGTGCTGGACCGGTCACCCAGAACGCTGGTCTGGAACCTGAGCAGACCAGCCGACATTAACACCCAGGCCTCCTGACGCTCTTTGGCGTACACTGAAGGGTTAGAGGCCACCCCAGACACCTTTAGGGAGAGTGACGTCGGTGAAGGAGGGGACGATCTAAAGGTCAAAAAGGTCACGATAGTTTTCCTCGCGGGGCCCGCGCTTCTCGAGAGCGCTGGGCCTGCTCGGGGGCGGGGAAGAGGATGGGCCCCAGGCTGTTGAGTGGCCGCCCTCCCAGCCAATGAGAACGTCGCCCCGCTCGCCGCGGTCCCGCCCCTCCCGGCGCCCAGTACTCACTTTCCCCACTTCGGCGTTGCCCATGGAGATGACTTTGATGCGGAGGGACTTGCCAGGTTCCTTCCGCTTCGGCATGTTGGCCTCCATTGCCCAGGCTCTCTCGGGGCCGCCTGAGTCTCTCCTCGTGCGCCAAGCTGGCCCGTCCCTCAGGCCTCGTCGCCCAATGGCGGAGCCGCTGCTCTCGTCACCGGCCGGGCTCCACGGCTCGCCATCTCCGCCGCTGCCTAGCAGCAGGCGCGGGCGGTTGGGAGGCAGGGAGCCGGGGGAGGGAGAGGGGAGTCTCGCGATGCTGGAGCGCGGCGGCTGACGTCATCGCCGGGCCCCGGAGACGCGGCTCCTGTCACCCGGTTTCTGGCTCCGGCGACCGTGCCAAGCCGGCTCCCTTGACGGGAGGGCGGCGTCGTGGGGCGTCTGGGTTTACACTGCGGGAGAGCGCGGCCTTGTTTTCAGGGCGCCAGGACAGGAGGCATTGGTTGCTTTCGCACCTCGCGGTAGAGATATTGGATGGTTAGGGGAGATGCTCAGTGTCAGTTCAAGGCCCAGCCACGCCATAAATTCCAAGCAGACCTCGGCTTCTTCTTTTTTTTTTCTCGGGGGAGTTGTTCCTTCCAGGGTTCTTCTCTACCTGAGTCCCTCTGCTATTACCTTTCCTCCTCCAATACAGTTAGTTGTTCCTCGGTATCTGCTGGGGATTGATTCCAAGACCCCCCTTGGAGCATCCCCTACCAGGGATGCTCCTGTCCCTTATATAATCGGCATAGTATTTGCACATAACCTGCGCACAGCTTCATGTATACTTTAAAATGTCTCTAGATTACCTATAATATCATATACAAGGTAAATGCAAAATAAATAGTTGTCATACTGTATTGTTTAGGGAATAGGAATAAGAAAATTTCTATTTCTGTACATGTTCAGCAAAACGTTTTGCTTCCCCCCCCCCTTAAAGTTTTTGAACTATTGGTTGAATCCGCAGACACAGAAATTGCAAATACACAGGGCCCACTGTGTTATTTTCCCTGCTCCAACATCCTGAGAGGCAGAGGTCAGGAGTTGGGCAGCTGGGGAAGTCGGAGCTCTGGTTCTGGAAGAAGAACTAGGCAAGACAGAACTCTGAATCTGAATTTTTTAAAAATGGAGTTGCCCATTTGGAGTAAAGGCGAAGGTTTTTGTTTATTCTTTGCTCCTGTGTTACATAGCTCTGCAACCTGATTAGTCGACTCTGCAAGAGGAAAGCTCAGACTAGATGCTTCTTATGTTCTTGTCTAACTCAGCAAGGTGTGCAGTTGTGGCTATAAACTCCTTCATGTTCCCCTCTGCCTGCACTCACATCCAAACAGCCTCAAATTCCTTTCTTACCTTTCCCTTAGCTGAAGAGTCAAGGTAGAAGAAAAATGAATTCTTAGATAACCACTTTTCTCAGTTCTTGGGATAAGAAAAGCAACTATTTGAAAAAAAGCCAGTCTGACAAGGAATAGCGAAAAAAAAATGAGTCAGTAGCTTCAGTTACAAAAGATAAATAGAACTTGACATATGATTATTTAGTGCCCTGGATAAGAATGGTTGTCAATATTCCAGCAAATTACCAAGGCAAAGGTGGCATTGCTCTTGTTCTAACATAGCCTTCAACATCTTAAATATATTTGTAGGAAGACAGTGAATAAAGGCTCAGAATATCATACTAATTATTTTTAAATCAGATTTTCAAATATTTCAATTTTAAACATTAAATGCTTTTCCTATGAAAAGCTTTTTATGGATTGTTTGCATAATCAAATCAACTTTGTTCAATGAAACATCTAGAACTCTTTACACATATGTAATATAAGTCCTGGTTTGAATTTTGATAATTTAAAGCTTAAAAGAATGGTTCTTCATAAACCCAAGATGGTGATCTATCATTACTTAAAAAATCACTAAACGTTTAATTTCTGTGATGGTTAGCTTTTGACCCTGTAATAGAACTGATATTGTGGAAGAATAATTGCAAAATTTCAAATATTCAGCTGTCAAAAGATTGCCTTAGTGATGATACCTTTGATAATAAGAGCAGTAAAATATATTGAAGATCATTCATATTGATGTGATTTCATATTGAAGCTTTAATATGTATGGCCACATGTTCTGCATGCATTCAGTTGGTTGGAAATTGAAAAAGCAAGAAAGTTAGCTTTCTTTTACAGTCGTTAATATAAAAAGAAGAAAGAGTATCAGGGATTATTTATGTATATTATGGACCAGGAAGGTACAGTATGAGCGTGAGTTCTGTTACCCCGTATGGTGGGATGACAGAGGCATGTGGTGGTGGTAAGCATTGTAGGAGATAATTCATGTGAAGTACAGTCAGCCCTCAAGGGATTGATTCCAGGAACCCCTTCAGATATTCAAATGATGTATGTGGTATTTGCATATAACTATGTATATCCTTCCATAGATTTTAAATCATCTCTCGATAACTTAATAAGTTAATAATAAATAATTAAGTTAATAAATAAATAATAACTAGTACTAACAGCAAATGCTGTGTAAATAGTTGTTACGATATATTGTTTAGGGAATAGTGATAATAACAAGAAAAATATCTGTACATGTTTAATACAAAAACAAACCTTTTTTTCTCAATAATTTTGATCCATGATTGGTTGATTCTATGGATGTATGGAGGTAATCATCCAATAAACAGTAAGTATATGCTTTTGTTTACTCATTTTCCCATTTTTTAATGTATCAGGAAAGATTTTATATATTCAAAATATATACTTTAAAAAGTAAATTATGGAGGGCTGGGTTTATGGCTCAGTGGTAGAGCACTTGCCTAGCATGTATTAGGCACTGGGTTCGATTCGGAGCACCACATAAAAATAAATAAAGATATTAAGAAAGTCTCTTTGGGAAAGTATTATAAATAAAGTAAATTATGAAATATTTTGGACATACTTAAATGTATATATAAAACTATAATGAATACTTATATATCTGCCACCTGGCTTAAGAAAGAAAACATCACCAAGGCTGTGTGTACCTTTCCCCAAGACATCCCTCTCCTCCCTCTCTACAAAAGGTCACAGCCATATAAATTAGTGCTTTCCATCACCAGGCATTTAAAGTTGTTGTACTACATTTTTATATACCTTAAAATGTAGTATTACTGGGCTGGGGTTGTAGCTCAGTGGTAGAGTGCTTGCCTTGCATTGTGTGAAGCACTCAGCACCACATATAAATAAATAAAGGTTCATTGACAACTAAAAAAATATTTTTTTAAAAAATGTAGTATTGCATTTCATCTTTAAAAAGGTCTTTATTTTGGAATAATTTCACAAAAAATTTCAAGAACAGTACAAAAATATTTGTCTACCTTTCCAGACCCATCAATTATTAACATTTTGTTCCATTTATCATATCAATTGTGCCCACTAGCTTTCTGAATGTACATATATACATATTTTCTGTGAATTATTTGAGATTAATTTGCAGACATGTTTCTTTATCCATATATATTTCAATATGTCTTGTCTAAGAACAAGGACTTTGTCCTACATAAGAAAAGTTTATCAAAATCAGGAAATGCAACATTTATAAAGCACTATTATATAATCTTGTGATTTTTCAAATTGCACTGAGCTGTCTCACAGCCCCACAGTGAATTCACAAGGGGATATCTAACTTTTCAAGACAAACAGAATGAAACAAGACAGCAAAACTACTAGCTTGACATCGTTTATAATAACAACAATAGATGGCGCCATATTCCTTGTATATGTCTTATCTTGGTTAAACTGTATTTCCTCTATTGTGATTAAAAAACAGGTATAGTGGTCTGGGGTTGTAGCTCAGCAGTAGAGTGCTCGCCTAGCAAGTGCAAGGCTCTGGGTTCCATTCTCAGCACCACCTAAAAATAAATAAATGAAATAAAGGTATTGTGTCTAACTACAACTGAAAAAAAAAAAAAAAAAAAAAAGATATAGTAATCCCCAGCATCACAAACAAACAAGTATGGTGTAAAATCAATGCAGAACCAGAAATGAGGATGGTCTTGTCCAATCTGAGAAGTACAGTGACCCACCCATGTGTGTGTGCATTTCACACACACTAATTACTAATTTAAAATGAAATAATTTTTTTTTTTCAATTTACATGTTTTCATAATGGCTACTAGATTCTTATGTTATAATTACCTAATAAGTTGTTTGGACCTAGGTATGTGATTTGAGCAATGGGCAACGTGAAACAAAAATTACTGAGTTATTAAAGTCATAATGAACAAAGAAAATTGATAAACTTTGAACTAATCCATAGTTTATTACAAATTTCATCAGTTGTCCCCAAAATACTTTTTATAGCTATGTTTTGTTCCCTAACCTATGATCATTTTGTTGTCTTATACTTTTAGTTTCTTTAATCTGGAGTGATTCCTCAACTTTTATTTGTCTTTCAAAATCACATTTATTTTTAGAACATCCCACAATTTGTGTTTATGTGGTATGTTCCTGTACTTAGATTCAGTTATATTTGGCTGAAACCTGTTATGTCTTTTTTTGGGGCGGGAGGGTAGTGGGGATTGAATTCAGGGGCACTAGACCACCAAGCCACATCCCCAGCCCTATTTTGTATTTTATTTAGAGACAGGGTCTCACCAAGTTTCTTAATGCCTCCCTTTTGCTGAGGCTGGCTTTGAACTCATGATCCTCTTGTCTCAACCTCCTGCGCTACTGGGATTATAGGCATGAGTCACTGCACCTGGCTGTTATGTCCTTTTTGAGGCAGATTATCAGAAAGTTGTAATGCCATTTGTCCCATTTATTAATGATGTTAACTTTAATTAGTAGGTTAAGGTGGTGTTCATGAGGTTAATCCACAGTAAAGTGACTTTTTCCCTGTGTAATAAGTAACTTGTAATGAGATGATTCAAAATTTCATAACTATTCTTTCATCATTGAACTCTTACCCACAAATGTTTAAAATCCAATAGTGATTCATAGCTGAAGAGATCATACTATGGATGAATGCAAAATTGTGATTTTCTAACTCTACTAACCCACTTCTAATCCACTTATTATTTTTATTCTATTCATTACTTTTCTACCATAAAGGAGAGTTTTCCTTTCTCACTCATTCATTTATTTATACCATATGGCCTCATTTGTGCTTATTTACTGCATGAATATTCTATAATTACTATTTGTTTTTATGCTTAAATTAGCTC